CCTGTCACAAACCTCACCTGTCACAAACCTCACCTGTCACAAACCTCACCTGTCACAAACCTCACCTGTCACAAACCTCACCTGTCACAAACCTCACCTGTCACAAACCTCACCGCACGTCTCTGGCTAAAACATTATTTGCCTTTCAGCAGAGAGCAACACATATTTATGATTGTATGTTGAGCTGATAAGAAGTTCTGATATCTCACAAATAAATGCTGCTTTCATCTCAGTTGAGTCACCATGAGGTTTTTAGAGTGGGTGTCAGTGATTTTATTTGTAGTTGCGAAGTTTCTCAGGATTCCACACAAACAACCTAAACTGAACAAGTGCAGCTCGAGGTACGACTGATTAAAATGCCATGTGGAAGAACAGAAGTCTGAATTGTTAAAATCTAAAGTGTCTTACATTATGAAAAGGTCAAAGGTCAGAACTTACCTACTTATCACCATTTAAGAACAAAAAAATATTCCAAAGCTCTTTAAAGTCGAGTGAAACCCTTCAAACTTTAATAAAACTGTGACGCTCTGTACTGGATCTGATTATTGTCAAAGTTATTCTGTTTTTCTGCTCATATTTACATTTCAGCAGAATGTTCCACAAAGTCCCTGTCAGTCCACGTGAAGCTCCGTTTCTGAAAACGTTTATTGCCCTTTTTATCCTTTACAAACGGGTGAAAATGATTAGAACACGCAAGAAGGTTTTAGTTCTTCTGACAACGTGACTTGAAGATTAAGAAGTGTTGAGAGATTACGCTGCGAAGGAGGTAAATGAGTAACTTGGAGTGGAGCCAGATGAGTCTGACGTACACGCTGAAAACACTGACTGACAAGCATCTGAAACAATTTACATCCTCTGTTTTCTGGTTTTGCACAATAGCATGAAAGCCGTCCAACACCGACCGGTTCTGGTCTTAAATTACATTTAGGTTTTTATAAAACTAAAGGTTTTTCTTCAAGTAGACCGCCACCTTTCATGCTAAAGTTTTTAAATCATCTTAATCTGAGAGAGACATGTAGTTTCAGCTGTTTAGGCCCAAACTGCTACATCTGTTGGGAGTGTTTACTGAAGATGACTCTCAGCTACTACCACTCCAGATTTCAGCTCAATATCTGTAACATTGACTGAGCCGTTGCCTTTTTGTTTCAACTTTGATCAGCTGAGGTGTCCTTCTTGAACTGAGGTTATCAGCTGTAAATACTCACCGAGTGGTTGTTTTCTGAATGTTTGACTAAAATCTGTCCAGTGGTTCATGAGAGAAATTGCTAATGACACAAACACAACACACACACACACACACACACACACACGCACGTGGTAATAATAAAATGAGGTTTAAACAGAGGTTAATCTGAAGGAGCAGACAGATTTTTCAGGTCATGATGAGGCTGTCTGTTTGGTGAAGTGAGAGATCGCTGTGGCCCAAGAAGTCTTTTAGAAAGTGTCTCATTTGAGGATCTGGAAAAACCTTCAGCCTTAGAGAGTAACCCACTGAGCAAGGAGACGTCTAATTGACGTCTTTTTTAAGTCGTTTTTGCACGTCTAGTTTGGGTCCCTCCCAGGTGCAGACTTCTTTTTCCGACGTCCAATGGACGGTCAATATAGAGATATTTTCTACATCAAAATTTAACTTATTTTATTCACTTCAGATAATAATATAATTAGTAAGTGCATCGTGTTGTCTTCATTGTATGTTCCCATACAGTGTTTAACACATTCTCCCTCAGATGGATGTTGGAATGACTGGGGTTCGATCCCACGACCTTCTGGTTTATAGTCAGCTGCTCTGCCGCTGCACCATACAAAATTAAAGTAACAATATATTTGACCATATATTGTGCAACAGGAAACCACCCACTACAGTTACTAGGTTTACAAATAATTTTGTCACTAGAAACAGATAGAATAAGTTTTACAAATAAATCACTCCTTATTTTTTCTTTATCCTCCCACTAAACATTAGACGTCGAATGGATGTGCAGATCAAGTTTATATTGAGTCTGTCGGTCTAGACCAATTCTGGACGTCTCCTCGACGTGCAAACAAGGTCCACTCTGGACGTCCAACCATGACCTCACTTGTACGTCGATATAAAGTCGAATGTTTGAACGTCGGACTTGGAGGTCGTATAGACATCCAAGACAGGTGCAGGTGTGCCTTAGTGAATCATAATTTTTATAACCCTAAAATTTACAATCATAATTTATAATCATTAAAGAGTAACTGTGCACAGTTATTCTTTTATGATTATAAATTTGCACAGCTTCATTCATAAACCAACTGTTGCTATTTTCTCTCAAAGCTATTTCTGTTAATCCAGTAAAGAGGATAAAGGAAAAAAAATGAAGGAGTGATTTATTTGTAAAACTCAGTCCATCTGTTTCTAGTGACATTGAAGCAGTGATGATTTAATTGTAAACCTAGTATCTGTGGTACATGGTTTTCTGTTGCACAATAGATGGTCAAATATACTGTTTCTTTAATTGTGTTTACCGCACAGAGATGTGCAGCGGCAGAGCAGCTGACTTTAAACCAGAAGGTCCTGGAATCGAACCCCAGTCATTCCAACTGAGGGTGTATATTATTATCTGAAGTGAATAAAATAAGTTAAATTTTGATGTAGAAAATACGTCTAGATTGACCGTCCAGTGGACGTCGGAAAAAGACGTCGTCTGTCGTAACAGTCTGCACCTGGGAGGGACCCAAACTAGACGTGCAAAAACGACTTAAAAAAGACGTCATTTAGACGTCTCTTTGCTCAGTGGGCTCTTTACTGGATTAACAGAAACAGCTTCGAGAGAAAATAGCAACAGTTAGTTTATGAATGAAGCTGTGCAAATTTATAATCATAAAAGAATAACTGTGCACAGTGATTGTGATTATGATTGTAAATGTTATGGTTATAAAAATTATGATTCACTAAGGCACACCTGCACCTGTCTTGGATGTCTATATGACCTCCAAGTCCGACGTTCAAACATTTGACTTTATATCGACGTACAAGTGAGGTCATGGTTGGACGTCCAGAGTGGACCTTGTTTGCACGTCCTGGAGACGTCCAGAATTGGTCTAGACTGACGGACTCAATATAAACTTGATCTGCACATCCATTCGACGTCTAATGTTTAGTGGGAAGACACGACCGGAGATGGATAAATCTCTCTGTACCCATAAATTGAATTTCTTTTGGATTACAGTAACAGGGGGATTGAAGTTTTCACTTAATCTTTGGTCCTCTTCTTTTATAATATAAATACCAAGATATTTAACTTTGTGTTTTACTGGAATTCCTGAGATCTCTTTGTCATGACAAGTTTTAATAGGAAGTAACTCACGTTTAGATTTAGATTGAGACCTGAAGCTGAAGAAAATTCACGCTCAACGTTAAATCTACCGGAGGTCCCATGGGCAAGTTTAATTGAACTATTACCGAAGGCATAGAGGGTGCGAATTGATTTTCTTAAAGTGCTCCCCAAAGCCAAATAGATCCAGAGCTTTAAATAGAAAATCATGTTCTAGTGAGCCAAAGGCTTTATGGAAGTCAAGAAAGAGAATAAAACTATTTTCTGATATTAAATCTGAGTAGTCTAATAAGTCTAAAATAAGCCTTATATTATCAATTATGTATCTTCCAGCCATAAAACCATTTTGAGATTCCCCAATAACATCATGAAGTACTTTTTTCAATTTGTTGGCTAAGCATAATGCTAATATTTTATAATCATTATTTAACAATGTGATGGGGCGCCAGTTGTCTAAAACTAATAAATCTTTTTGTGGCTTTGGGATGAGTGTAATTAAGCCTTGACGTAGCGTGGACGGTAGTTGTTCTTTATGTATACTTTCTATAAACACATTCAACAAAAATGGAGCAAGTTCAGCTGAGAATAATTTGTAAAATTCAGAGGTTAACCCATCGATACCTGGAGATTTATTTAGTTTCAGTTTTTTAATAGCATCTGAGATTTCTATAAGTGTAATGGGTGAGTCACAAATAGATTTTTTGAATTCTCCAATTGTCTTAATATTACCTAGATTGTTAAAAAATCATCCATTTGAGTAGGTGAAATAGTTGAGGTATATAGATTTTTTATAGAAATTCTCACATAGTTTAGATAGTTCTTTTGGATTTTCTATGATATTACCATTTGAAGAGAGTCTGTTTATACTATTTTTGTTTTGTCTTTGTTTTTCTAATTTAAAGAAATAGTTAGAATTTTGCTCTCCCTCCTCCAACCACTTCGCTCTTGAGCGTACAAACGCACCTTTAGCTTTACTGATATATAATTGATCAAGTTTTAGTTGTAAAGTTAGGAGCTCTGCTTGCTGTAGTTCAGATACATTTTCTGGCAATATGGAGGATAGAGAAATTAAATTAGCTATTAGATTATTTTCATCTAATTTCATTTCTTTTTTTTTTTGTTGAGAACTCGTTTTTATAAACAATCTTCTTGGCTCATATTTTCAAAGCTCCCATTGTTTTTGATATTCCCCTTTATCTTCTGCAGTTTTGAAATGCTCTAAAATTTTCCTTCTTATTATTTCATTTAAAGATTTGTTTTGTAATAAAGAACTATTTAATTTCCAATATTCAGGGTATCTTTGAGTTTGCTTATCAGGTGATAAATTTGAAGGTAGTACAATTGCTTTATGGTCTGTTAAGGGAGTTGGCATAATTTCTGTCTTGCAAATTACCTGAGTAAGGGATTCTGAGATCAACCAAAAATCTATTCTAGATCATAGAGAACCAGCCTTATTTGTCCATTTAAACTCTTTACTGTTTGGATTAGTAACTCTCCAAATATCAATAAGAATTTTTTCATTTATAAAATCTGTCAAAAAACAGTTAGTTTTATTTCTACCAGGCCATCTATCCATGTCATCATTAATTGTTCATTCAACCTTTATTTAGACAGGTAAATCCCATTGAGCCTCGAGGACTTATTTACAAGAGAGACCTGATTATTATATAATTGTGCAGTTAAAGTCCCCTCCTAGTATTACTTTAACATCAGTGAACCTTTCCATGATAGTTTCAATAGTATTGAGCATGCATGCATCAGGATATTCAATAGTATTACTCATTGTTTGGAATAACTCTTTGTTTTCTCTTGTGTTAGTGTAACCATAAACGTTACCTAATAGATAAAAATGGTTGCAGTAACAAAAAACTATCAACATATAATGTCCATTTGGGTCAGATTGAGTGAAAATAATCTTCTCATTAATCTCAGTAATGATTCACAGCATCGAGTCAAAAAGGAAGTTGTCTGACGTCATGTGAAAAGGGTCTATTGTTTTTTCTTGTTCACGCAATCGTCCAGTAGATGACAGTAGAGATGCTTTGAGTCAGTATGCTAACCGCTATAAAACCACAGAAGAAGAAAACTGGTCTCTTCTCGCGAGATTTCACTCAAAAATAACGCGGGGGACAGAGAAAACAAAAACGTTGACAACGGTCGGACGCAGAAGAAAATGGATTGTGTCTAATTTAGCCCAGAAAAATCGACACTGTCCAGTTTTAGTTTAGTTTATTTTTTTTTGATAAACGTGTTTTTGTCGCCGCAGCTGGACATTGTAAAGAAAGTTTATTTTCTCCACCTGCCTTTTGAGACTGAATCATGGACCTAACGGAGGATATATCCGCTCGGGTTCTGTTGACAGATATTCTCAGTACCGAACCTCCAAGGACTCCTGTCATTCGCAGGTACTGCTTTTATCTGTAACCATCGACAACACTTTAGGTTCGACATCATATGTAGATTTAAAACGTTCAAACTGAGCGCAAACACTCACAAAATGGACACACACATGATGGACACATACATGATGGACACACACATGATGGACACATACATGATGGACACACATGATGGACTCAGTCACACAAGCACACATTAATTATAACACATTCATGATGGACTCTGACACATACATGATGGACTGACACACACACATGATGGACTGACACACACACATGATGGACACACACACACATGATGGACTCTGACACATACATGATGGACACACACACACATGATGGACTCTGACATACATGATGGACTGACACACACACACACATGATGGAATGACACACACATACATGATGGACTCTGACACAAACACACATACATGATGGACTGACACACACACATGATGGAATGACACACACACACACATGATGGACTGACACACACATACATGATGGACTCTGACACAAACACACACATACATGATGGAATGACACACACATACATGATGGACTCTGACACAAACACACATACATGATGGACTGACACACACACATGATGGAATGACACACACACACACACATGATGGACTCTGACACAAACACACACATGATGGACTGACACACACATACACGATGGACTCTGACACAAACACACACATACATGATGGACTGACACACACATACATGATGGACTGACACACACATACATGATGGACTCTGACACAAAAACACACATACATGATGGAATGACACACACATACATGATGGACTGACACACACATACATGATGGACTGACACACACACACACATGATGGAATGACACACACATACATGATGGACTCTGACACAAACACACACATACATGATGGAATGACACACACGCACATGATGGACTCTGACACAAACACACACATACATGATGGAATGACACACACATACATGATGGACTGACACACACACACACGATGGACTGACACACACACACATGATGGAATGATACACACATACATGATGGACTCTGACACAAACACACACATACATGATGGACTGACACACAGACACATGATGGACTGTTGACACACACACAATCTAACTGTGTTGTGCTCTTTGCTACTTATTTACTCGTATGTTTTTGCAATCTGTTCAAGTTTTGCATTTTTGCACCTTACACAGTTTTTAATCTCTGCTGCTATAAAAACTGAAAAACTTTGTGCTGCTAACACATATCAGAACATGTTTCTACCTCATGCACAGTACCATCTACACATGTACTAATCAACATGCATCTCTAGTCTTGACTTAATTATGTGTTTAGATTAGAATGTTTAGATTAGTTTAAATGTCGTTTTGCATTTATTATAGATCTGTATTGTTCTGTTGTGTATCTGCACTGTGTGTTGTTTCGCACGTTATGTTCTGTGTCGCACTGTGATCCTGGGGAACACGGTTTCATTTCAATATGTACTTGTACGTAGCTGAAATAACAATAAAACCAGTCTGACTCTGAACCGACACCATGAAAAGTCTTTATTTCAGATCATTAAACTTGTCTTTGTACAAATTGAGTGTGGTATTATTAAACTTGAAACGGTCTTGGTTTTAGTCGCTCTCAGGCACCTGCTACCAACGGGATCCGGCGCAGTAGCAGACTGAGCAGGAACAATGCTGAAGCCCAAACCCCACAGAACATGCTGAGGCGCAGCCTGAAACACAAGATTCATGAAGTGAGGAGAGAAGAAGTGCTTTAGCTGAGGTTTGTTTTGAATCTTTGTAAACTTGGTCAATATATCTCTTTGTAGAGTATAACCAGAAAATCACTGCCTGCTACAAGTAAACGGAGGACTCCTTCAGTTGCACTCAGGAAGATTCCTTCGATGCTCGTCTCTGAAGAAGAAACACCAAGACACTTACTCAGAAACATTCTGCAAACAGGTATGTGCATTTACTTAACTTCCTGTTCACTGTTACAGCTTTAACTTGTCTGTTAACTCGATCACTTCTTTGTGCGTTTCAGAGCCTGTGAAGTCTCCTGTTCTTTGTGAGAAAGAACCCCCTGCGGAGCCTGAACAGCGATTAGCTGACAGAGCAGCTACAAAAACACGTTCTAGGTGAGCTATTCGTGCAACAGGGTGATCCTGACGTTTAGATGCTGTTCAGATTTGTTTGCAATTTGACTAGGCTTATGTCCAATCCAACTTTATTTATAAAGCACTTAAAAAAAACATACAGGACCAAAGTGCTGTACAGACAAATTAAAAAGCACAAAAGAAATAAAATTAGAGATGCACCGATCCGATACCAATATTGGTATCGGTCCCGATATCGAGGGGGGGATAAAACAAACTTCTGGATCCGGTATCGTGACAATGTGACCGATCCATGACTTTGTGCTGAGTGACGTCATGTGCTCGCGAACTCGTCACACAGACTGTTTTCAAAATGGAGCGAGCAAAAGGATCAGCTATTTCACACTACCTGAGCCAACACATTCGACAGCTTTTTCATGTTTGACCAAAGTAGTCAACCTTTGTTTTTGTCAGTTTTCAAAAAAATTGTAATTCAGTACATTCATGTCTGTTTTAAAAAAAAAAAGTTTTAAGTTAATTCAACACTGGGTTTGTAAGTTCAATCATCCAGGTAGACAACAAAATGGCTAAATCATGTCATCTGGACCTGTTTCAGAAACAGGTCCAGATGACATGATTTAGCCATTTTTGTTAATTCAGCACTGTTTCTCTGTATCAGATCGGTATCGACCGATACTAAACTTCAGATATCTTTATCGGTATCGAAAGCGGAAAAAGTGGATTGGTGCATCCCTAAATAAAATACAAGAAAAAAATAATTAAAAAGACAAACAACGAGCTATGCAAAAAAATTTGAAATGGTAAAAGGAGAATCAAATAAATAACAATAATAAAGTCAACATCTCACATGGTGTCAAAAGATGGGATTTAAAAACATGCAGTGAGGAGGCCTGTCTGATGTGGAGAGGCAGACCGTTCCATAGTTTAGGAGCTGCTACAGTGAAGGCACGTCACCTCTAAACTTGAGCTTTGTTTTGGGTACACTCAGGTGCAGCTGATCAGCTGACCTGGGGGGGGGGGGGGAGGCTGTAGCAGCTCTGAGAGATAGGGAGGGGCAAGACCACTGAGAGATTTAAAAGTAAATAAAATAATCTTAAAACTGATCCTAAAATGTATGGGCAACCAGTGAAGTGAGGCTAAAATGGGTTAAATGTGCTCATATTTACATGTGCCAGTTAAAAGACGTGCAGCAGCATTTTGCACCATTTGAAGACGGGCAATGGAGGAGCCACTAACCCCCACATAAAGAACATTACAGTAATCCAGCCTAGTAGTTACAAAGGCATGAATTACTGTTTCAAAGTGCTGACGTGAAAAGATGGGTTTTATTTTAGCCAGCTGCCGTAACTGGAAAAAGCTTGATTTAACAACAGAACTCATCTGGTGGTCGAGCTTAAGATCCATATCTATTTTCACCTCAAGATTTGTGATGGTGGACTTGATGAACTGGGATCCCAGATCTACAGGAAGGGTGCCAGTGGTACCACCAAAAAACATCATTTATGTCTTTTTCTCATTAAAATGTAAAAAAAAGTTTAGAGCCATCCAGGCTTTTATGTTGTCAAGACACCTGAGCAACGGATTGACAGAGTGCAGATCTGTTTTTTTTTTTTTTTTTGAGAGGAACATAAATCTGACTGTCATCTGCATAACAGTGGAAGGAAATACCATGCTTCCTAAGTATGGAACCAAGTGGAAGCATGTAAAGAGAAAATATTAGTGGGCCCAGGACTGAGCCCTGGGGGACCCCGCATGAGAGGCAAGCAGTGGAGGACACAGTTACCAAGACTGACACAAAAAGTTAGGTCTGTCAAGTATGACCTGAACCACTCCAGTGCTGCACCCCTGACACCCACCCACTGATTCAAGCGGGAGGTTAAAAGTTCATGGTCCACTGTATCAAATGTGGCAGTTCAAGCTAAAAGCACAACAACAACACAGTCCACAGAGTCAGTTGCTAAAAAAAAAAGTAATAAAAAACTCTTAAAAGAGCTGATTCTGTGCTGTGTACGGTTTTAAAACCTGATTGGAAAACCTCAAGGATATTATGTTTCTCCAGAAAAGCAATTAATTGGTTAAAAACTATCTTCTCAAGGATTTTTGAGATAAAAGATAGTTTAGATAAAGGCCTAAAATTTGCAAGAACATCAGTATTTAGTCCTGTTTTTTTAATCAGAGGTTGTACAGTTGCATGTTTGAAATTTTGAGGGACCACATTTGAGGACAAACTGCTATTGATATGTGTGAAAACAGAGAATCCTATAGTGGGAAGAACTTCTTTAAACAGTCTAGGAGGAATCACATCATTTGGAGAACCTGAGGGCTTTAACTGACCAACAGTCTTTTGCAAGAGGGGCAGAGTAACGGGTATAAACCTGCCAAAGAAGACAGCACAGCAGGGTACAACAACTGACGTATCATGTGCAGAGTGTAGAACTGAAGCCCTAGCAGAGGCAACCTTATCAATAAAGAAGTGAAGGAAATCTTCACACCTACCGGGAGGACTCGATGTGGGGCGTTAAGAACAGAGGCAATGGTCTTAAATAAAACATGAGGCTTATGACAATTTGATAAAATATATGGTTACAAGTTCAATTCAGTTTATTTATATAGCGACAAGTCACAACAGAAGTCATCTCAGGTCACTGAACAGAAACGTTCATACCGGTTTATAAAATAATAATTTAACATTATTTATCTGAGGAGCAGACCGCTTTGAATTTAACTCCATCACAGACCGGCTGGGTTTGAGAGGAACAGGAAGGAGGAACAGATACACAATGGCAGGAAAATAATCACAATTTAAGATAGACATAAGTTTAAATGAAAACTATTCAGTTTTAGCAAATCATTTAATGAAATTTGGTAAATTTGTCCTCCAGTATGCTAAGCCTATGGCAGCATAACAAGCCAACCCTAACTATAGGATTTATTAAAAAGGAAAGTCTTAAAACTGGACAATGAGTCAGCCTCACAGACAGAAACTGGAAGTTGTTCTACAAGAGAGGAGCCTGAGAACTGAAAGATCTTCCTCCCATTCTGCTTTTGGAAACTTTAGGAACCACAAGTAAGCCTGCAGTTTGAGAATGAAGTTATCTGTTAGGAAAATATGGAACAATAAGATCTTGAATATAAGATGGAGCTATGTTGTTGAGAGCTTTGTTGGTTAGAAGTAGGATTTTGAATTCTATTCTGGATTTGACAGGGAGCCACTGGAGAGAAACTAAAATCGGAGATGTATGATTTCTCCCACTAACTCCAGTTAAGACTCTGGCAGCAGCATTTTGGATCAACTGAATACGTTTTTTAAAGAAGTATTTGGACACCCAGATAACAAACCATTGCAATAATCCAGTCTAGACGTGACAAATGCATGAACCAGTTTCTCTGCATCATTTTTAGATAAGATGTTTCTAATTTTCGTGATATTATGCAGGTGGAAGAAGGCGGTTCTAGTAACATTTTTAATGAGTTGTTGTCAGCTCTGATTGAGTGAATTCACATCTAGCAGGTATAATGTCTCAGCATCACCTCTGAGACGTCCATCTAGTATTATTTAACAGCCGGTAAACTAATTTCTAGTAAGGAATAAACTTTGTTTTATTTTTCATCAACTTTTTTTATGTTTGCTATTTGTAGGTAAAAGCTTGACTTTTGTTCTGCAAGTTAATCCACTATTTTCTTGACTTTCAGTATTGAGCTGTCAGGGCTGGATCTGCCTGATGTGACTATTGGCAACATTTCAACAAGCATTGCAAAGGGACTGAGCAGAAAAAGACCACGCCGGAGCTTGAACGTAACGGCTTTTGAGAAGCGACTGAAAGGCGGAAATGGTTAAAATTATCCTGATGAATTTACACTTTTTTACTTTATTTATTGCAGAAATGCTATTATCTATGTGTGTGTGTGTGTGTGCTACAGAGTGTGTTTGCTTACAGGTGCTGGAGAGGAAACTGAAAGTTCAGTGGATGACCTTTCATCCCTTTCTTCATCAAGGTTATCCGCAAAAAGCCTTTCAAAGCAATGTTTTTAATTTTTTGTGTTTTTAGATGTAATTTGATCAGATCATATGATGAAGTGAGAGCCTGATATTTAAAACCACAAAAAAATAAACAACACATGATCTGATTTTCTGTTCCAGCTCCTTGAGTCTAAAAACGCCCCTCGCCGATGTTTGGACTGAAAAAGGGGGCCTGCAGAGGAAAGTTTCCAACCGGAGGAAAATTACAGAGACAGAATTTGATGCTGCTGTGAGCAAACAACATATGGGAGGTGATGATTTTTTTCCACTTTTTAACAAGCGTTTACTTTTGTGGTTTGTGTGTCTTTAAGTACGTAAAATGTGTAATTGTATTTTGTAAACTTTTTTGAATTGTTTCTTTAAAATCAAGTGTAAAAAAATTTGACAAATCAATTACCACATTGTTTTAACGCAGCAGCCTTTTACAGCCAAAATTACTTTTTACGAGCTACTTCCTGGTTCCAACTTGGAATATTCTTTACTCTTTGGATTTTAGATTAGCGGGAGTTTTCAGATGAAGATGTAATGTTTTTTTTAATTCATTCATCCAGATGTGAGCAGCCGTGGATTAGCAGAGAAGAATCTCTGTGAGGTTACCAACTCTGAGGGGTTCACGTTGGGTCTAAGCAACCTCAGCGAGCCCAGTATAACAGCTGATATCATGCACTGCAGCACGACGCTTTATGACCAGCCTGACGCCATGACCTCCAAACTTTCAACCCTCGCTACTCATTACAACCCCACGGTCGTGTTGTCACCACTTCAGATGGATGTGAGAGAAACTGAGGAGGAGGAGGCGCATGGCAGGAGGGAGAGAGAACTATCAGTGGATGCATTAGGGTCTGTAAGTGGACCTCAGAGTGAAGAACATGTTTGTGGTCCTGAAGAACAGGAAGTTATAAGTGAACCTCAGACTGAGGAAGGTCACGCTCAACTCGATGATGCAGCTGCGGTCGAGTTTGAGGAAGAGGAAGATGCAGGTGAATCGGACACTAATGCTGGATATCGAACTGAAACTACGAAAGTGGAAGCTCAACCTGAAGAGGAAGGAGCAGCCGATTCAAACCCCGAAGAGAACAATCGTTTAGATGATCTGACTGAGGAAGAGGTTTCTCCAGACTCTCAAAGAGAAGAAGAAGAAATTGTTGACAACGAAGAAGAAGGATGTGCAGCAGGTTCCCGATCTGAAGATGAGGAAGAAAGTTCTCAGTCTGAGGAAGAAGAGGATGCGCAGGGCTCTCAAACGGAGGAAGTCGCAGCGAGTGCCTTCTCTCAAGATGAGGTTGGAGCTAGGTCTGAGGAAGAGCTTCCTCCAGACTCTCACACTGGAGAAGAAGAAAGTGAAGCAGACTCGCAACCTGAAGAGGAAAAAGGAATCGCTGGAATTCAAGATAGAGTTTCCCAATCTGAAGATGCTGAGGAAAGCTCTCAGTCTGAGGAAGAGGAGGATGCACAGGGCTCTCAGTCTGAGGAAGACGATGCTGCGGACTCCCAAACTAATGGAGTCGTAGCAAGTTCCCCGTCTCAAGATGAAGATGAAGCAGCATCTCAACCCATGGAAAACCTTGAAGATGTGGTCGAGTCTCAGACAGAAGAATATATAGAGGAAGAGCAGCTGGACACTGATTTGGAGCTCATCGATCGAAGGGCTCATCGCCCTGAGGGCACATTCATTCTGCCCGCTGTGGAAGCAGGGGCTGATTGGGATGATGATGTGGCATCAGGTATGCTCACATTTCTTTTCTTCTTTTTTTTTGGCAGCAAAGCAAACCTTAAATATTTAACCTGTCTTGTTATAAAATAGCTCTCATCTGAGAGAATATGACTGAATAAGTAAAGTACATGTTTCTGAAATTAAAGGCCTAGCATTCCTTGAGTTGATGCATATTCCCGGCTGCCTTTCATCACCTTGTGTTAAGAAAATATAAAAATGTTGTTTTGGTCAAACCTTGTAAGTAACAACGGAAGTCTCATGTGTCGTGCTCAGAATGATTCTCGACTGAGACAACACCAAGTTTTAGCTCGGTATTTGTAAAATTCATTGTGATGCAGCCATTTTTATGATTCCTATAGTTAGTTGTCGTGGCCTCTTGAATTAGACTTGACTCCAAACATTCAGTTAAGGATGAGTATTCACTGATTGTTTCCTAAAAGTTTCATTAAGGAAACAAAGCAGTACTGAAAAGAAATGGACAAATGGAAAAGGTCTTACAGCATTTCTTTTGCATTTTTAATAATTTGATATGACACTGATAAAAATAACGGCTGTTTTTTAATTTATTTTATTTTATTTTTAGGGCAGTCTGGTGCCAAGTCCGACAGAAACACCACCTTTGATTTAAACACCAGTGCACAGTCGGGGATCGGAGAGGTCAGTCAGCCCCAAACCAGGGAGCTGGATGTTGCTGGACCCTCGGTAAGAGACCAGGAGCACACTTCCTGTGCAGAACACAACCCTGACGTTGAAAATGAAAACTCCTTTCATCTTTATGAACTGACGCAGGACACGGAAGTCAGCGGACGTGAGAGCGTTGCTTCTCCTGAGCACACTTCTGATCAGGACTCTGCTGAACAGGAAGAAGAGTGGGAGGATGAAGAAGCTGAAGGTTAGTCTCTCTAACCAAACTAAATAATCAGAACAACCTAAAGCCTAATTTTGTTTTCTTACATCTTCAGCGGCCAAGACGCCAGCATTTGTCAAAGTGAAGAGGAACTTCTTTTATGCTGATCCTCCAGCGTCACCATCTGTTTTCAGAAAGGGTCAAGCGAGGCAAGTCGCTCTTTTTTCATCATTACATCACAATCTATTTAATCAGCTAAGGCACTGTTGCAGAATGTGGGATGTCTTGCGTTTTTGTTCTGTTTTGTAACATTTCTTTTAATATCTGTCATACCTGCAGCTTAACAAGCGTAGCTTTACCTGCAACTAAACCCAAGCAGGTGAGACGGAGGAAAATGGGAACAGCTGGAAAGGAAGCGGTCCTTCCTAAGGCCTACCTCATGAGTGTCTTCAGACACTTTGCCAAAACAAAGGTCTCGGCAGATGTTTTTCCTGTTCTAAATGACATGTGAGTGGCAGATCTAAAAAGCAGTGTGACAAATAAAGACTGACTTTATGTTAAAGTCATTTTTGGTTTAAACTGGATCATTTGTTTCAACTTGATCAGGTTGAAACACATGTAGGGTGAAATATTTGATGTATGCCATCTTTGTGACAGAATGGATCAATTCTTTGATCGGCTGGTCAAGGACCTGGAGACGTATGCTGCTCACGCAAAAAGAAAAACCATCGAGGTTGAAGATGTTAAACTTCTGTTGAGAAGGTTTGTATTTGTTGTCTTCTTTTTTCATATGGCATTCATCAATCGTTTGATTATCACATGTGCATAACTAACATCCAGAAGGACCATAACGATGAAGTAACTTCATAAACGCGCATCAAGAGTCTTTTGAGTCTCCTCGTCGACATACTGATGTTTTATTTCCAGCTGTTGGATGTTCATGAAAGCAGAAACAAACAAACTGGGGGCAATAAAATCTGAACTCTAACCAGTGTCACCGTCACTTTTAAAATTGAGAAAAGTTTCCTATTAAAGTTAAACATTGACTTTTATCTCTTGAAGTCATGTGACTAGTGAGGGACACTGGGTACTGACGACATCATTTCCAAAGTCTTGGTGCACCTGGGCAGCTAATGTGACCACTAAGCTAATTTTAGAAACTTTATTTTATTTTACCAAAGGAGAGTTTCCACTGTTTCAATGATGCTAATCCTTAGATAACATGCCATAGTTCACATATAACCTGGTTTGGTAGCATTTCTAACACAATTTGATAAAGAATAAGTTTGTCAAATATTGTGACATATATGTCACATCAGGCAATAAACTAAATTGTACAAAAAATTCCCATGAGACGTATTTGACCCAATAAGATTTTTTTTTTCAAGAAGTATTTGTTAAACAGAACCAAGCAAAGTTATGATCATCATACATGTTAAGAAGTTGCAAATAAAAAGAAAATTCTGTGTTAAAAATAAAACAACTGTTTAGACAATTTATTTCCAAATGCAGAATAAATTTATTAAGTACGCCCAATGTGATATACATTATATGTTACATTTCAGATCTGTGCCAGTAGGTGGAGGTATTAAAAAAAAAAAAAACTTCAGAAATGTGTTGCATATAATCCATTTGTTATAATTTACAACCCCCATAATTTTCATGAAAGTAGAACTGGGTCTGGGTTCTTATGGGCTAAGCTGAGACGTTCTGCTAATGGATCCTGTGATTAATTCTGTTTCGGCTTTCACAAATGTATTTACGTCTTGTGGGTATAAATAATAAATTAGCTTTAGCAAACCAAAGAGCCTTGTTAAAGTTTTAAAACCACATGTGCAGCACTCCATCGGAGCTGTCAATCATTAAGCGTGACTCACTGTGGTTTTTAAGTGAAACACTGAAGCAGACCTGCATGCTGTAGACAGGACCATCTCCGCGTTCATGCTTAAAAAATAGTTTGCATGTTTGACATACTGTAGTTTTGATATGCAACAAGATCGATAACGCACATCTTTACAGCAACATATTTGGAAAAAATGTCTCCCTTTTCTTCTGTTTACCTTTAACTGGTTTGTGTCTTCTGTCTGCAGGCAGGGTTACGTGAATGACAAAGTGCCTGTGGAGGTGCTTGTTGAAAAATACCTTAGAATGGAACAACGAAAAATCCTAATCCCCATCGCAACCAGTGGAAATGTTGTTATCCCCAAAACAGGGAGATGAATCTTTTTAAAACAGCTGATTTTATTTTATTTTTCTCCATTTTGGCGTTTACTCATTTATCTTAATATTAATGACATTTGTGATCCTGTAGAGCTGGTAATCAGAATATAAATATTGTTTGCAAATGAATTACTTTTGTGTCATATAGTTTTTCTTTTTCCTGATCTGTTTTTATTGTACGAATAAAGGTTGTGGTTATAACTTTTGTGTTAGTATTTGTGGAACGCTTTGCTTTATTAATTACCGGTATCTGTACCTGTAAGTCGTTAGAACCACATTTTATTGTGAGAGTGTGAAACTAAGAATTGTATAAACGTGTAAATCTCAACTGTTTCAAATAAAAAGTTTGATTTCTTTGTAATGGGTGTGACTGAGTCTTATATTTAGATTCTTTTAACGGTTTTTAAATGTCTCAATGGTCTCGCACCATCTTATCTTGCAGAGCTGCTATTACCCTATGAACCCCCGCGGACACTAAGGTCCTCTGGCACTGGACTACTAACAGTTCCAATAGTCAGAACTCACACTGACTGTGAGGCTTCTTTCCAGTACTGTGGCCCCCGTCTGTTGAATAGCCAGCCGGAGAACCTGAGGGCCGCAGAGAATGTTTTTAAGAGCAGGCTCAAGACCTGAACTGGTTAATTTCTGTTCAATCTATACATTTTCCATATAATTTTATTTTATTTTGTGGGTTTGTTGTTTATAATTCTGTACAGCACTTTGAGCTGCTTTAGAATGAAGGGTGCTTTATAAATTTGATAGATTGATATATTTGACAAGTGGTCATTGTGCAGGTGGGTGACATTTTATTTAAAAACATTATCTTGACAAAATACTATGTAATGCTTTGTATTATATGAATTCTATTTTGATATCTACAAAAATACAAAACATGTACAGGTACAGTAGTCAGATCGTGGCGTTTTACTCTTGACCACTAGATGGCAGAGAAGAACCACAACTAAAGTCCAAAGGAACAAAGTCCATGTTCAATAATCCAGGTATACAATCCAACATTTTTCAGTCAGGTC